AAAACATGTCAACATTTATTAAGGACTAATAAACATTTATAAATGCCAAATGGGAGCCTTATTGTAAAGTGTAAAGCATAACACCATTTATTAATCACTAATAAACATTTATAATTGCCAAAAGTGAGTCTTAAATGTATAATCTCACCATTTATAACACTTAGACCTAAATTACAATCAGTGCTTGAAATAACATTTAACTACTGTCAAAAATGGCAATGTATTGTAAGAGTAACACATGTAACATTAAATGTGTTTTTTAAAACACCAAACAGTCCCCCACTCCAAAAAAAGTTCATGCCAGACTGGTTCAAACTGGAAGTATTTTTTGTATGTCCTTAAATAAGCGTCCCAGTGGTCCATCAGGGTGTCGCGAACCAAGCCAAGATGACCACTCAAGACCCATCAGGTGTTCCTCCAGCAACTTCTCAGTGCGATTTCCTCTTAGTCTACGGACATGTCCTTTGATGGTCATCCAAGCCTTTTCGATATGCTGGTTAATGGTTTATATAATGGTTTATAAAGCATTTACAGATTAATTAATAATATAGCTATTAACTATTTATTAGCATCTATAAGGGTAGCCTTATTGTAAAGTGGTACCCTTGCATTACAAAGTTGTCTGGCTGGCAGTTATCTGCATGCTGGGTAAATACAGTTCCACCCAGCATGGATTCCTGCACTTGCACTATGCAGGAGGAGGAAAATCACAGCGTGACACTGTATTAAATAACATTTAATATGTAATACATTACTGTACTGAATAGTAAGTATGCTGAAAAGACTTAAAATTCTTCCCTTTCTATACCCAGTGCTGTTTGTTTGCTGGAAGGCCTGCTTTGGTGTTTCACAAAAGGATGAATGATGCTCTGACATAATAATGGGAGAATCACTTCAGAAGAATCAAAGGGAGAAGGTTTGATTGATGGTGCTGTCAGATGGTGCAAAACAAATTATTTTGCCAGAACTTCCTCTTATACAGTAACAGCATTTTCCTAGAGTTTCCTCAGAAGTGCATACAAACTAACAC